GCTGACGGTGAAGGCCTTTCTGCTGGGCAAGGAGGGGGTGGTCCGCGAGATCCGCCGCTTCGCGCTCCCGCCGCCCGCCCGCTACCAGGACGTGCGCGACAAGGTCGGCGAGATCTTCCCCGCGCCGCTGCGCGACGGCGCCTTCCTGCTGCACTACAAGGGTGAGCGCCGCGGGCCCGGCTCGGGGGGGCTGGGGCCAGGCTGGAGGCGGGGTTCCGCCCCTGGCTGTGCGAGCCCGTAGGGAGACCGCCCCGGTGCATGCTCCGGGCTGGGCAGAATCGCGGCCTGATGCCTGCCCCACACCCGGCTGCTCCGGGGGGGGACAAGACTCCTAGACTCGAAGGGACCATTATGATCATCTAGTCCCACCCCCTGCCCAATGCAGGCCGCAGAATCGCACCCACCCTCTCCCCTCTCGCTCACATATTGGTCTGAGGAAGTGGGTCTGGCCCACGAAAGCTCGTCATCTAATAAGCCATCTTGTTAGTCTCTAAAGGGCTACATAGCCCTGTATATTGAAGTCCTGAAATGGTCTAAGGACCCCAAGATGCAGAGAGGACAGCAGACTAGCTCTGGGAACAATGCGCTAGGCTGCCCTTTTGCCTCCAGGGCTTTTCTTTTCTGTACCTCTGTAAATGCCTACGGCTTGGTCTACAGCACTACACACACATGTGGGTATAACTGCTTCGCTCAGGCCCCTGGATTTTCCATCCCAGAGGTCGGCTTAATGGCAGTATTAACACTCCATCCCTTCCCTGTACACAACACATTGTGGACTGTTGCCATAGCAATCATTTCCCACGGAGGTGTATTCACTACCCCATGGGAATATAGTAGTGTTTTCACCAAATGCTACAATGGCATAGCTGCACTGCTGCAGCACTGGGGGTGAAGACCAGCCTTGGAAAGAAAGCACATACAGTGAGCCTCATTTTAGCTCAAATTTTAGCTCAAATTACAGAAAGAAAAGCTCTTGCTACTTCCGGCCAACCCCTTCATTAACATAAATTGAAGTTCAGTGTTATACAGTATCATCTCATACTTTATTCGTATTATTAGTTTCTAGACTAGCTCATTGAGGAGACTTTAACATTTCTCCCCTTTAAATTATCATTCATGCAGTAACTCTATTCTGTTCAAAGATCAAGATATTTCAATGCCAAATATTTAGTTCTTAAAGATCATACACTCCAACGTGACTGTTTTTCTGCGGGTGATATTTAACTCTAGTTTATTGGAAAATTGCTTCCTTGTCAGATTTTTCTCTGTTCTCACTACTGCCAGTTTTTAACAAGAACACATATAGCTCTGCAGCATAGCTTCTCCATAGTACTGCAGACATAGTAAAATTATTTAAACATACACTCCATTCTGTAACTATTGCTGAAGTGGCTTGTGTCTTTAAAACTATACCTCTCTGCAAATGTGGTGGTTTGTAAGCAGAAGATAGTTTGGTAGGGAAGAAACTACTTAAGTAGAGGGGCAAGGTGGGAGAGAGTTTTTATGCTGATAATCTGGGGTTGATAGGACTAAAACAACACTGCATACAACTCTCAAGTAGGTTAGATTTCTTTCCCATCTAAGTTATTTGTTGTTATAGAACTCTAAGCAAAAGAGGAGAGTAAAACTAAGTGCCATTTTGAAATGAGGATAGTTAATCAACCCTTTTATTTCTCTCTTAAAACTGGAAGGGACATCCAGTCCAGTCCTCTGCCCTCATGGCAGGTACCATCCCTGACAGATTTGCCCCAGATCCCTAAATGGCTCCCTCAAGGATTGAATTTACAACCCTGGGTTTTAGCAAGCCAATGCTCAAACCACTGAGCTACCCCTCTCCCCAACAGTTCTAATATCAAAGCAGTAAGGTGTTGCTTGATTGTTAGTCTCTATTATTTGCAAAATACTTAAGACAAACTACATATTTCACTTTGTTTTCATAAAGACTTACTTTCATCTCTTCCTGATTGTCACTTCTATCCAATTTATTAATCTGTCTTCTTCAGATGAAGATGGCGACATGATTGCCTTTTCCGGTGAAGAAGAATTCAAGATGGCTCTGCCATATGTGAAGGATGGCATTTTTCGTATTTACATCAAAGGTAATCTTTAGTTTTGTGGTGGTAAAGAGGCTCTCAAAAGAGAAGCAAGGCTGACTTTGTGTTTCTGTAATGGGTAACTGCATATGGCAGAGGTAGTACTTAAAGAGTCCCTGAGAAAGTGTGTGATGCAGAGTACACCCTAATTGCTTCAGGAGCACATGTCTCTGCTACAAGGATGGCACTCTGCTACAGGTCCCTTGAGGGCAGATTGAATAAAATATAGAACAAGTGTTTATAGGCTTGGAGGAATTCTATTCTGTTGTGCTGAGAGGGAAACAAACTAGAAAATCCAGTCAAATAAATTCAAGGAAATTGTATTACAAAGTTCAAACTTCTAGAGTTACTTTAAGAAAAAAACATGTCTGGACTAGCACTAACCACAAATTAAGAGGTATACAATTTCATTCTTTAAATATTATGTAATTAGGGTATTTAAATCCTGACTCTTTCAGTTTTATTAGTATTTTAGCATGCCTCATAGTAGCCCTCTGGTTGAAGTCAGTGCTCCATATGTATCTCTTCTTTCCTCACATAATTTTGAAGATTGACACATCCACAGTTTGTAGATTTACAGTCTGTGTAACCATGTGTTTTACTGCTCCTTGTCTTCCCTTCCCATCTGTTAATCTAAGTTTAGAGAAAACAAGGGTTTATCTGAAGAATTTACATTGTTCCAGACATCATTGTCTTACTGTAGTCATATGGAGCACAAACTTGATGGGTCTTGGTACTGTCATGATACATGTTAAGGAATGTTAACAGACTGGAAGTTGTCAGGCTGATGAAGTGGAGAAAAGTTATCCATTCACAGCCTTAATTAAATGTAAACAGTGGCTGTGTCTACACTGCACCCCTTTTCCGGAAAAGGGATGCAGATTAGACACTTTAGAATAGCGAATAGAATAGATTAGACGCTTTTTTTCCGGCAGCCATGTTAATGCAAATACCGTGGAGGATATTTAAATCCCCTGCGGATTTTGCTATTCCGATGTGATACATTAGCATCCCTTTTCCGGAAGGGATGCCAGTGTAGACATAGCCAGTCAGTTTTGGCTGAGATGACTAAGAAATTGCAATATATTCAGCATGGCACACTATTTAATCTGATCCAGATTTATGCTGGGTTTTTCCATGTCTATGACTTTTGTATAGTCGAAGTAGTACCTTGACAAATGAAGGAAGGGGAAGAAAATCACAAAATTGCTTTTACAGACTAGATGTGGTACCCTCAACTTCTGTGATGTAAGAGCATCAATTCTTGTCTGAGCAAACTCTAATGCAATAGTCTGAGAGAGAGCTCTAAAGACTTACCAGTTTCAGGAGGGAATCACAATGTGCTAAAACTAGGACTACACATAAAACCTGTAGACACATCAAATTTCAAAATAAGCTATTTTGAAATAGATTCAAGATAAGATACGCAATTTGTGTAGCTCAAGTTGTGTATCTTATTTCGAGTTTAGGGTGCTATGTAGATGGACCCTTAGTATCATATTCCTTAAGATTTAAAATGGCAATCTACCGGTTTCCTTTTTAGAGAAAAAGGAGTGCAGACGTGAGCACCGCTCACAGTGCAACCAGGAGCGTCCTCTCATTGTGGTGCACCCCAACGTGGTTTGTGATGGCTGTGAAGGACCAGTGGTAGGGCCTCGATTCAAATGCACTATTTGCCCAGATTATGACCTATGTGGTACCTGTGAGAAGAAAGGCATCCATAAGGAGCACAACATGATCGTGTTTCAAACCCCACTGGTCAATAAATTTGAGGTGAGCAAAACTAACTTCTAGCATGGGGAAGAACTGGTCTAGAGGGGAGCCTGTAGAGGACAGCTACATGTAAGAAACTGTAGATAACACATAGCTGTATCTTGTGGCTTATACTTGGACTCATGTGACCTTGTTTTCTCAGTGGATTCCCGGAGGTCGCTGGCTTCGTAAGATGAGACATGGGGTTCCACCTTTTGCACAGACACATGGCTGGGGGCACACTGGTTATGCCGCTTCATGTCAAAATTCTGGGCAGGACTCTGGGCAAGCACAAGCCAGTGCTGCATCCCAAAATCCAGACCCTGAGCAAGGTAGGAATGGAATGTTTTGGTTAATGAAGTATTAAATTAATTGACCACTTTCGCAGAGAAGTATGAAGTTTTTGGGTTAAATTTAAAGTACAAATTTTTAAACTAGGTTTGCTGGCACTTAATGACCACTGAAGGAGGCTGGGATGGAGTTGTCTGGTAGATTACTAAAAGCCCTCCTTAAAACTTGAGAAAAGACTAGATTGTACTCTTTGTTTAATTTGTGTTAACATGCAGTGGCTAACTTTTTTTTTTTTTTTTTTTTTTTATAAAGTAATGGATCACTGGATATAAAGGAAACTAGTGCTTTCCCAGCCAGTCTCAGGACCCTAATGTCACCTTTTTAAAGAATGTTGGGGAAAGTGTAGCAGCCATGCTGAGTCCTCTTGGTAAGTGACTTAATTTGCCATCCTAAAGCCAGGATTTTACCAGACCTTTTATCAACAAGAACAGCGGCCTGCCTCTGCCTCTCAGGAGAGCTGAGTCATTTCTGGCCTCAGCTTGGGAAATTGCCCTGTTTCTCCTTCACTCACTCCCACTTCACTGAAATTTTGCCTATTTTCCAACAACCATACTAGCGCCACACTAGGAGTGTCATTCTTCTGACTGAAGCAAAAGATGTACAGCGAGCCAAAAACTTAATGTAATAGCAAAACTTTTTTAAGTATTCCAGAAGCAGGAAGCCTGCTAAACAATCAGTGGGGCCATGGGTAGATTGAAATGCCAAAGGAGCACTCAAGAACAATAAAGTCATTGCAGAGAAACTAAATTAATTCTTAGCCGTGAAAATCAATGCAGAGGATGGGGAGATTCCCAAAGCTGAGCCATTCTTTTTTGGTGACAAATCTGAGGAATTGTCCCAGATTGAGGTGTCAATAGGGGAGATTTTGGAACAAATTAATAAACCAAACAGTAGCAAGGCACTGGGGCAGATGACATTCACCTAATAGTTCTGAAAGAACACTTACGTGAAATTGCAGAACTACTAACTGTGGTTTGTAAACTATCCTTAAATCATCTCCTGTACCAAATGACTGAAAGATACCTAATATGATGCCAATCTTTAAATAGGAATCTAGAGATGAATCTGGAAGTTAGACAGGTAAAGCTAACATCAGTTCTGGGCAAATTGATTGAAACTATAGTAAAGAACAGAATTGTCAGACACATAGATGAACAGAATTGTCAGACACATAGATAAACATAAGTAGTTGGTTTCTGTAAAGGGAAATCATGTCTTACTAATCTACTAGAGCTCTTTGAGGGTATCAACAAGGCTATGTATACATTACATTCCTCTTTCGAAAGAGGAATGTAAATGAAGCAAATCAAAAGCACAAATGAAATGCAGATTTAAATATCTTGTGCTTAATTTGCATATTTGAGTCCAAGAGGGATTTGTCCCAGACATTTTTTCAGGAGTACGAAAAAGGGTTAGGGGTGGTTTTTTTTTTTTTTTTTTTTTCCTGAAAGAACCCAGTCTAGATTTTCATTTTCAAAAAACCCTTTTTTTGAAAGTGCTCGGATGCGAATATGCAAATGAAGCATGGGATATTTAAATCCGTGCTTCATTTGCACTTTCAATTTGCTTCATTTACATTCCTCTTTCGAAAGAGGAATGTAAATGAAGCAAATTGAAAGTGCAAATGAAGCACGGATTTAAATATCCCATGCTTCATTTGCATATTCGCATCCGAGCACTTTCAAAAAAAGGGTTTTTTGAAAATGAAAATCTAGACTGGGTTCTTTCAGGAAAAAAAAAAAAAAAAAAAAAAAACCACCCCTAACCCTTTTTCGTACTCCTGAAAAAATGTCTGGGACAAATCCCTCTTGGACTCAAATATGCAAATTAAGCACAAGATATTTAAATCTGCATTTCATTTGTGCTTTTGATTTGCTTCATTTACATTCCTCTTTCGAAAGAGGAATGTAAATGAAGCAAATGACTGAAGAGCTTCAAAAGGATCTCCCAAAACTAGGTGACTGGGCAATAAAATGGCAAATGAATTTTAATGTTAAATGCAAAGTAATGCATATTGGAAAAACATATATGTACTAAATGATGGGGACTAAATTAGCTATTACCACTCGAGAGCTCATGGAGTCCTTGTGAATAGTTCTCTGAAAGCATCCACTCGATATGCAGCAGCAGTCAAAGCAAACAATGTTAGGAATCATTAAAAAAGGGCTAGAGAATAAGACAGAGAATATCTTATTGCCTGTATATAAATCCATGGTACTTCCACATCTTGAATACTATGTACAGATGTAGTTGCCTCATCTCAAAGAAGATCTCCTAGCACTGGAAGAAGTTCAGAAAGGGGCAACAAAAATGATCAGGGGTTTGGAATGCCTTCCATTTGAAGAGAGATTAAAAAGACTGGGACTTTTCACCTTAGAAAGGAGGAGACTAAGGGGGGTAGGATAGAGGTTATATAATCATGACTGAGGTGAAAAAAAGAATTAAGGAAAAGTTTTGGTTTCCATAACAAGAACTAAGGGTCACCAAATGAAATTAAGAGATAGTAGGTTTAAAACAAAAGTTTTCACACAATGCATAGTCAGCCTGTGGACCTCCTTGCTAGAGGATGTTGTGAAAATCAGGACTTTAACAGGGTTCAAAAAAGAACACTGTTAAACCCTAGATACGTTGATGGACCTATCCTCCATTAATGGCTATTGACCAGGATGGGTAGGAATGGTATGCCTAAGCCTCTGTTATGTGCCAGGCATGGGATCACTTGATTACCTGTTCTGTTTGTTCCCTCTGGAGCACCTGGCATTGGCTCCTGCCTGTCCCACCTTGCTGCCTCTATGGGAGGTGGTGGGGAGGGGAAAAGGTGGCTCCACAGAACTAGCATGCACAGAGTGCCAACTTAAAAGCCAGCTCCTGCATGCCTCCTCACCCTGTGCTGCTGCCCCTCCCCCCCCATAGTTTAAAGTAACTAGGATTAACATGAGGTCACTGAAGGAATTTCTATGACTGACTCTTCTCCCTCTCAACTGTTTTCCTAGGCATCGAAGTAGATATTGATGTCGAACATGGGGGACAAAAAAGCAAAGTTACTCCCCCCTGTCCAAGTACACAGAGTGATTCTGAGTCCGGAGGCAGTTCCACTTGTCAGAATGGCCAGAGCAAACCAGAAGGAAGTAGCAAAGAACCTGCCACAGAGAAAGAAGATTCTATTACAGAGCAGATGCAGGAGATGGTGCTAGAGCCTCCTTCCTCCCATATGGAAGTCAGCAATTTCCTTTCTCAGGTACATGAATTCGTCTATCTGGTAGACACGACCAGTTCCTTTTTGCCCTATTAGTTTATAGCAGTAAGAACCAAACATCTCTGAATGGATTCATAGCAAAAATTACAGTATAGATCTTGAGTAGCTACTTTTGGATCTTAACATTCATTCCCATAAATTCCAATCACTAAAGGAAAGAGGAATAAGCCCCTTGCATGCATTATGGTAGATAATGGCAGAGCCTGCATTCCTATGCTAGAGAATTGTGCAAGACATTGGCTCCTTTTTCTTTACACTTACAGGAACAGAGTGAATCCAGTAGTTCTGCAGGGGGTGATGAGGACTGGACCCACTTATCTTCAAAAGAAGTGGATCCCTCCACAGGTGAACTGCAGTCTCTCCAAATCCCAGAGACACAGGGTCCCAGCTCTCTAGACCCATATCAGGTTCCCCCTCAACCAGGACCTACAGGACTGCGAGAAGCTGCACTCTACCCCCATCTTCCACCAGGTGTGTAGCTGTGTGTCAGCCATTTGCCCCTCTCTAGAAGCTTATTACATGAGCTGCTAGTATAAAAGCCACAACATTGTCCATCAATGAGTTGAAAGAACAAAGTAGAAAGCCTTGTCTGAAACTAAATTATTGCTAAGACTATATCTGCCACCTCTTGCAGTACTTCATTGGAATGATGCTAGAAATTAACTTCAGGGTGAGTTTTCAGATTACTTGCACTGACCAATATTCAGTTTGCCACTTTTGCCTCACTTCCATTTATATATGGGGGGGAAAAAGTACACTATATATGCTGGCAGCTGCTGCCACGAACTAAAAATTAGAAATCACTTCAAGACTTGAGGGGAAGTAGTAAATACTAGATGTTGAAGGGGAAAATTCAGAAGCAACTAAGATACTGTTAGTACCAACATAAGGAGTGACTGAATAAATTAGCTTGTTACCCTGACTGTCTTTCAGGTAAGCTATGTCTACACTGCCACCCTAGTTCGAACTAGGGTGGCTAATGTAGGCATTCGAACTTGCAAATGAAGCCTGGGATATTTAAACCCCGGGCTTCTATTTGCATGTTCCTGGGTGCGGCCATTTTTAAATGCCCCGTAGTTCGAACTACCTGCCTGTGGCTACACATGGCACGGGCTAGTTTAGTTCGAATTAAAGCTCCTAATTCAAACTAACATTACTCCTCCCTGTAGCCGCGGGCAGGTAGTTCGAACTCCGGGGCATTTAAAAATGGTGGCGCCCAGGAACATGCAAATAGAAGCTCGGGGTTTAAATATCCCAGGCTTCATTTGCAAGTTCGAATGTCTACATTAGCCACCCTAGTTCGAACTAGGGTGGCAGTGTAGACATACCCTAATAAGCATTTCCTTAACATCTCTGCTCCTAGCAGGAAGCAAGGGCAGTACTTTCGCAATGAGGGTAAGACTATGGAGAGCCAATAATGGAATGCTGGATCATAATAGTCACTGACCTCTAGCATCCTTAAATTAATAGCTGGAGTCATCTTTGTGCATGTAGTTACGCTTCATTCAACAGCACGATTATTGTATGGCATCAAGAATTAAGTTATTTAGTAAACAAGGTAAAAGGATATATATCCTTGATAAGTAGCTTCGCAAGGAGACAGTGAGAGCTGATCACTGTCAGATTGGTACAGCAAGCTCAATTAGCTCCTTACATTGTGGAGTGGGATTACACGGATATTTTAACATTCATAACTGGTTTGGTTTAACAGAAGCGGATCCTCGCCTCATTGAATCTCTGTCCCAGATGCTCTCCATGGGTTTTTCCGATGATGGTGGATGGCTGACCCGTCTCCTACAGGCAAAGAAATGTGACATTGGGGCAGCACTGGATACTATCCAGTATTCCAAGCAGCCACCTCATTCCTAATGGCATTTGTGTAATCCTATAAAGCACTTTCCTGTGAACTGCTGAAAGCTGAACAGCAGTCCTATACTTAGTCTCCTTGTCAGAAAAGCCTGTTCCATTTTCTGTTCTCTTGTTATGAAAAATAAATCATTTCCTGCCTCCATTATTTTGTTAAATCAGATTATTTAAAGTACAGCGTAGCCTAGCCATTCCAGGGACAACGCACTAATTCATCTCTGCTGGAATGTAGTTTAGGAACCACTGAAAGTGGGAGATCTCAGGATCTTTGGCAAAGGAGAGAAATTAAGCAGTGGTTTCTCACCCTTCTAGAAGCTGTGAATGTTTGAAAGAGGAAATCTCTCATTTTACAGCAATGATGGGAAACCTTGTTGGGCATGGGGGACCCCGAGCGACAGAACATAATTAGGGGCCATGTCAGGGAGGTGGGGGTTTGTTGCTTCTCATTTGTGTGTGGCCCCAAGAGCCTGGGGGGCTTGAGTTAGATTTTTGTGGGCCCCCACATTCTGGTGTGGGGCCTAAAAATGAATTTAGTGTGTGGGAGAGGACTATGGGTGGGGTACAGGAGTGAAAGGGGGAGGGCTGAGCAGGGGGCTGGTGGCACAGCTCTGCAGGGCCATACATAGTGACCACATGCCCCCTGTTTTCCCCCCGGGCCAGTCCTGGATTTAAGGGTTGTGTCCAGGTAAAGGCAGCAAAGGGCCTGGAAAACCTGTTAGGATCCAGCTACAAACAGCAGCACCATTCTCTCTTCCTCCCCCCCCCCCAAAATCCAGGACACCTTCAGACACACCCCACACTAGCATGGCCCAGCCCTAATGCCCCACCTCCACCCAGCATGTAAGTGTCTCCCATTGGCTGCATCTAGACTGGCAAATTTTTCCGCAAAACCAGCTGCTTTTGCAGAAAAACTTGCCAGCTGTCTACACTGGGCGCTTGAATTTACGCAAAAGCACTGACGTTCTACTGTCCAAAATCAGTGCTTCTTGCACATATGCTTTGACATTCCCGTTCGGGCAGAAGCCCTTTTCCAGAAATGCTTTTGCGCAAAAGGGCCAGTATAGACAGCTCAAGACTGTTTTGTGCAAAAAAGCCCCGATCACAAAAATGGCAATCGGGGCTTTCTTGCGCAAAACTGCGTCTGGATTGGCATGGATGCTTTTCTGCAAAAAGTGCTTTTGTGCCAAAGTGTCCGTGCCAATGTAGACACACTTTTCCACAAATGCTTTTAACGGAAAAACTTTTCTGTTAAAAGCATTTGTGGAAAATCATGCCAGTCTAGATGTAGCCTTGGTGTTTTGTGCAGGCACACAATGTCTAGAGCACCAACCTCCCCTGCAGCACACACTGCCATGCAGCACATTCTACCCCTCAGCCCTTCGCTCCCTAGGTGGCCACCGCTGCTGGAGGGGGAGAAGGATAAACTCAGCAAGCCACTCCTGGGACAGAGCCTGGCTGGAGCGCTTCACAGCGGGGTGTGTTCGGGCTCTGATGGTGTATTCTCTGCATGGCCTTTTCTCCCTCCCACCCCTTTCCACCCTGCTTGGGGAGCGGGAGTGCATGGACACGCTTGCTCTGCTGCGTTCCGCAAGTCCCCTCCCCCCCCCCCCCCATGGGAGCCAAAGCTGGTGTGGGGACTTCAGTAAAATTAACCCTGTGTGGCCCAGCTCCAAGCCCACAAGCGGTCCTGCCCCAGAAATAGCTAGGGCTGTGGGGACTTCTGGGGCTTGACCACAGACTCCAGCCCCGCAAACTGGAAGGTGGGAGATGAAGGGACTTGTGCTGAGGGGAGGGCAGGAGAAGAAAGGGAAAGGCACCAAGGGACAGGGTGGAGGAGAGAAATGCCAGGGGGCCAAGTGAAGATAATGAAGAAAAGGGCAGCAGGCAGGAGGGGAGGTGTCAGTGGGAGGGGACAGGGTGATGTGAGAACAGGGGAAGGGCAAAAGGGGGAGGTGCTGGGAGAAGGGTTGAAAGGAGTGGGCATGAAGAAGGCAGCAATGGAGCAAGTCATGTAAGCACAGAGGGGCATGAGGGTGTCATGGAGGTGGGCTTCAGGGCAAAAGGGGCATGGACGATGAGGGAAGGCGGAGGCACCAGGAGGGTGCAGGAGCCAGGGGATGAAGCAGAAGGGGAGAGAGGCAAGGGAAGTATTAGGAGAGGGGATGAGGAGGGGTAGCTCACATGATCAGAAGGGGGCTATTGGAGGAATGGGCACAGGGGAGAAAAGGGCTGGTGGGGCAGGGACAGGTCCCAGGAGGGCTAAGGGGAGCGAGAACGGCAGGAGTCAGGACCAGCAGAGGAGGGTGAGGGGTTGGGGGGCAGCAGGCACCAGGGGAGCTGATGGAGCAAGGGGAGGAGACATGGCAGCAGAGGGAAAAGGCAGAGGTTTATAAGATATTTATTAATAACTTGGGTGCCACAGTGGCACATCCAAACAAGTCACCTGAACTCAGTACTGGTGCACAACACAAAATTCTTTCTGCTCATGGAAGGAAACTCTTAGAGGGAAAGCTTCCCTCCCCCTCTCCCTCCTGAGTTAATGAGACACAGATTGGGTTAATGCAATTGCAGGATAGTTACATAATGGGGTATGTGGTGGGGGCCAAACTCATCCCTACTGATAGGAGAATGGTGGGAAAAGTTCTTGGGGGAGGGGGGGCACATGACACCCTTTAGTTCTGGTCATGGGTGCAGCTTGGCCCCAAGAATGTTACCTCCAGAGGTGTGGCTAATGTGTCCATAATTTTGGTTCAAAAAATATGGTCACCATATAGTTTTTCCTGCCATTTCCAGGCACCATCTTCTGCTACTCCTATTGGCTGTGATTTTGCCCAGTCAGAGCATCAGGGGAAAAGCCTTCAAACAGTATTTTGCTGTGCTTCTATTTTTCCTAGGGAGAAGGCACAGCAGTATGTGAAGCCACTTCCTCCCTCCTGCCAGGCAAAGTCCAAAAGTCAGATCCAGCCCAGGGCTTGCCTGTGAGGCTCAGGGCTCTACCCCTCTCCTGTGGTAGGGAGTTGGGGGGACCACACATCTAGAGTGACAGTGTCTGCTCCCCCTGCTAGGGCAGAGGAGAAAGTCCTGAGTCTCTATTGTATTTTTACCAAGAAATAGCAGTACTGGGTGCTTGATCTAATCCTAGATAAAGAATGGAGGATAAGAGCTCTAGAAGAGAGTAGGTGTAACGTCTTCTTACCTAGATGTTGCTCTTTATCAGCTAGGCACTCACTTCATTCTGGCACATGCACCACCACTGTTGCTATCTGCTTCCAGAAGTATTAAGGTAGGGTTCTTGCTATTGGGTCATTAAGGCATCTACTAGTCCAGAAGCAAATTCTAGCTCTTGGAGAGTATAGCTACACTTCTCAGATTGCCTTTAGTGGGAGTGAGAAATTAACAAGCAATAAGAGTTTGAAGCATGTCAGCCCTCAATTAGAACAGTTAATTCAGGTGGGAACGGTCCTGTTTGAGTGGCAGAGAAATGTAGTAGAAACTCAGGCTTTTCCTACATAATAGTGTTGCTCATCTGTAATGGAAGAAGAGCAATTGGGGTAATAATACAGAAGCGTGCATGAGTTCATCTATCTCTAGAATTAGCCTTTCAAAGCCACAGATTTTCTCCAATTAAAAAAAACAGAAGCCCTCAGTCCTCCCAGCGCAGTGACTAACAGTGCTGTTAGTGAAGTGACCTTTATGCGGCAGCAGGCCTTTGCCTCTAATTAAAAGCACAGGTAGTGCTTATGGCAGGTCATAAGCCCACCTTTCAATTTCCTTCTCAGACACACCTGCTGGAAGAGTACAAAGCACTACCAGCACAGCCTATTGCACTGTAAACAAAATCCAACCTAACAGTCAGGTAACTGAAAGGAAAAAGAGGTCAGTTTTTCTTCCCCAAAACAGAATTATCCATCTACGTACAGGAGTGTCAGTAAGAGAAAGATCATAGCTATTTCCCTCAGGAAATTCATTCCATGTTAATTCTAACTGTGGAAGAAGGTGAGAGATTGAGATTCCTAATAGCACTTTGATAGGCAGCTAGGGTTGCTAACTACACACCTTGGGGAAAACAGGCTTTGAAAAACAGTTTCTTTATAGAGTATTTATGCTTATCACCTCTAACAAGCTAAAAACAGTTTACCACATCCCTTCTATCTGGCAAAATGGGGAGCATGAAAATGTGCATTGTTCTAACAAACTGCAAAACACTAATGGTATTCAGTAGCCCATACTGTGTGTCACTTTGATCAACTTCAGGGACAGAAGGATGAGTAGTGGATAGAAAAGTAAAAGCCTCTCTCTCAAACGGTGGGGAGAGAAAGTTAAGTGCAGAGCCTGGAACTTTTCAAAGATCATCATCAAAATCATCATCCGTGCAAAACAAGCTGCTATTTGGAGCAGCAAGAATCTGAGGCCCTCCTCTATTGCCAGCAGAAGGCTCTATAGAAGCAAAGGTCACAGCATTCTTGGATAGACAGTTTGCTGGCACAACAGTGCAGGCCAAACATAGCCTTCCTTCATTCTTCTCTGCAACATGAGACCCTGCTCTAATCAGGTGGTCCTTATATTTTCCAGAAAGCACATCCCCAGTAGATGCATGGCTGATGTCAAAGGCAGTCTGTACACTGGCAGCCAGTGTTGTGCTATGTAGCTTTGTGGCACATTTCTGAGCTGTATGCTTATTGTTGGTGAAGTTCTTTTCAGTTTGGGCACCTGTGCCTAGAGATACAGAATTTTCCTTTTGCTCTGGATATCCATCAGACATTAGGAAGTTTCCTGCTGTGGCATTCTGTCTCTCTAACTTCCAACTGCTCTTCTGCGTTGCAAGGATTGTGTTACCATTATTATAGCTGTTGGGAGACAGGATAAATTTTTCCCATTTGGACACGATGACATCAGATGACTGAGCTAGTGTGATAGCAGGAACCACAACCTGGTTACATACGTAATCGCCAGAGTCACGTTCAGCTACAGCTGTAAAATCCTTCCTGTTCTGTAACAAGACAGACAAAATGTTATGCAGATTTATTCCCCTGGTGCCAAGTACAGTGAGCCTATCAACACAGAACTGATGAGACAGACAAGCAAGAAGTAATCCTGTTCTTCCAACCAGACTCTCTGCTCTTCCTCATTACTTCACTTTCCAGTGAGCGCTGAGGTTGGTACAGAGCCAGCTAATCGGATATATGGTGGAAAAGAACAGTCATGAAGCAGAACCCACTGTGCCCAGGTCAGTTCTTTTATCCACAGAATATGATCTGGTTTGAAATTGTATTTCATTAGCTATATCCAAACATTTCAATTCACTTACATCAAAGACCAAAAATACACATCACAGTCACCACCAGAAAAATCTTAAATATGCAAATGAAGGGCTATAGATGTTGGACCTCCCTGGTCCTGATTGAAGTTGCTTACTGGACCAGGGGTGGTGAATGCCACCCCTCCTGCAGGGCTCCCAGTCCCACCGCCACCAACCTGAGCAGGGCTCTGTCATCATGTAGCTAAATTGTAGCCTTATGCAATACAATGTGCCTTAGTGTACCTTGCCAACCATCCTCTCTGACTACCAGAAATAAATGGTCTAGTGATGTTGGTAAACATGCAGTAAGTAGGCTGTTCATGTTATTAATGTTAAGGGAGAAATAGACCAGAAGAGTCCTTACACTTTTTTACCCTTAGAATTGTTTTCTTCTTTAATTTAAAAGAGTGTAAGAATGTGTTTTTGTATTATGGAAGAATTTCTAATAGTAATAGTTATTTTAATCTAAGAATATTTTGTACTAGATCTATTTTTACAAAACTAACTATGTAATTGTTGTTTGTGTGAATGAAGAATGTGAGAAAGTGAACTGCTTAATGCAGTTGTACTGAGGGGGAAAAAAAAAAAACCACACAAAAGGGATTATTTTACACGGCAGCACTATTTTGCCTAACTATAACTTTCAAAGATAACAATAGCTTATGCAGATGTATTCCTCTTGCCTCCCCAAACAGAT